TCGGAATGTTATTTGTAATATAAGCATTTCCCTTGTTTGTTTTTCTTAATTTATTAATTAAAATACAAATAAAATGAAAGAGCGCAATTTACATAATAGAATGCAGAACGAACTAATTATCGCCCGTAAACAAGCAATATAGTAAGTCGTACAATATTAAGTCCCCGTCAAATAGCGCGATCAATATTGTGATAAACCGTACTTAGATCTTTCACGCCTTTTTGAAAAATCTGATTTTAATTATTATTTACTTTTATTATGGTCAAGATAATCTTGAAATCAATTCATTGAAAGTAAATATATATATTTTTTACAAAGAAATAAACACTTCTCAATGCTTACATAACTAGTTAGTCGACAAATATACATGGACACGGCATGATTTTCGGGAGTTTTGATTATCTGTGTTCATCACTTGAGCCTATTTGTAATTAATTAATTTTAAATTTCTGCAAATAAGAAAGTTGAATAATTGGCAAGTTTATCACACATTGAATCATTGGAAACATTAGGATAAAATTTGCAATTATAATTTAAGTCATTCCATGCTGTCATTTTTGTTCAATCGTATCCCCCTTTCTGTATATCATGATATCCAATTCAATCAAATTATACGACCCATATACATGTACATCGTCTAATAGAACGGACAAAATCCGTTTTTTTAATCGGAGAATTACCTTAGATATAACTATTTTCAATCTAAAATATTAAGTCTTGCATATATTTAGTTACAGAAATATCATTTTCCGTTTTTTTCTTCAAAGTCTATGAAATAATATGGATAATTCTTTGAAATCTTAAATAAGCATTAAGCCGTTTTTCGTTTTGAAATATCAGATTCCTAAATATTTTGAACTATTTTGAGTGAAGAATCGTGCGTTTGCGTTAACAATCGTGCAAGATCGTGTAACGTGTAGAATCGTGAACGTGAAAGATCGTTCGTGTAACAGGTTTAATCGTGCGTTAATCGTGCGGGATCGTTCGTGTAACGTGATCGTTCGTGTAAGTTGTCAACAATAACGTTCCAGCCACTGTACTACTCCTGTTACTACTCCTGTTACTGTTACTCCTGGTATCGTGGCTCGTCCAGTAAGTTGTTGCTGTTATATCAAAGAAACTGACGAGGAGGTGTTGACTCCACTAGAGATAGAGAAGATCATATGTTCAACAGCAGAAGTAGACGAAGGACCTGACGGTGGTGACGGACCCGATTGTGGTTGCAGCAGATGCGATTGTCCTCCTGAAGCGAAGAGAAGAAAGACTGAATGACTAGACTAGACTAGTAGTGATGTGATGCTGTGTTTTGTGTGATGTGTGTGATACATTCCATCTAATCATCTCTCTGTTTTGTTGTGATGTGTGTTTTTACTTTCATGTTCATGTAATAAATGTATATATACCTTACTAAAGAGTCATTTTTTATATATATGAGGATGAAGCAGGGTTTTGGTTTATATATGATGATGAAGTAGGGTGATGCATGGGTTTGTCCTACCTAAAGAACCCTTTTTTATATATGATGATGCAGCAGGGTTTGGTTTACATAAAGAATCCCTTTTATATATAATGATGATGCAGGATGGAGCAGGGTTTTGCACCATGCTCCTCTCCTCCTAGTAAACCATGATGTAACCTATATAAGCTATATTGGTTAAGGTGAAAGAAAGGAAAGGTAGAATAGGAACAACAAACCCAATATTTTAAGAAATGGGGTAGAGTCGAGGTAAATAAACGATCAAGCAAAGCCAAGGTCTCATATATATATTTTATATAAAGTGGTTGAGGTGTGGTGTGTGCTGTGTCTTATATACACAAAAACTATGGATGTAACCACAGTAACACCAGCTACAACAGATAGTGATGATGCATCATCATCCTCCTATAATCTAGAACTGGACCTTATTATCTGGAGTATTGTGATTGGTCTCTTACTGATCCTCTTGGTGATACTGGTTGTGTTTTTATCTTGGTATCGTAAACCATCACCCATCTCAATCTATCGTCGTCATGGAAAAAAGGAAGAGGAGGTGGAGGTGGACAGCCAGATGTGGACGAAGACGACGACCATCCATTTGTTGTTGTATAGGATCAGTATCTGTGTCTGTGTATGTGTGTCTCTGAACAATAACACAATACGAATAATATAAACAATAACACAATATGAACAATATCTCTAACATAAACAATAAAACAATACGAACAATAAAATCATCTTTCAAGTGGAGGGAAGGATTAAAGATATATATAAAATCTGGGGGAAGAAAAACATTGACGTCAAACAAAAGCCAAGCCATCATGGGAGACGGACGTATGTTGAGGGTGTCCGTATTATTATTATTCGCGGTGGCACTCTACTGCTGTTGCGGGATGTCTGCTGCACAGCAACAGCTTGAATGTTTTTCGAATCAGCATACGCGACGTGGTACTAATCCTAAATGTATACTCCTGTCGAGAAGATGCGACGAACATTCAGATTGCGATGACGGATCAGACGAAGGTCCTGGTTACTGTCAACTTCCATTTGGATGTCAATCCATCAATCAGTATCAGTGCGGTGGGACTAAACGTGAATGTATAGACTCGTCGAAGAGATGTGACGGAACTGTAGATTGCGAGAACGGATCCGACGAGAAAAGTAATGTATGTCCTACATGTGCACCGGAACTCGAACATATGTGCAGTGGTGTTAATCCTGGATGTATACCCTCTAACAAGAGATGTGACGGAACCACAGATTGCGATAATGGATGAGACGAAAGTATGTGTCCTACTGTTGTCGTCTGTACGGAAGACGAACATCGGTGCGGTAGTGTTAATCCTAAATGTATACCCAAGTCGAAACTATGTGATAATACGACAGATTGTGAGGATGGATCAGACGAAAGTACAGATTTATGTCCTATCTGTTCACTGGATAGCGAACATCGGTGTGGTAGCCTTGAACCTAAATGTATACCCACGTCGGATCTATGTGACGGAACGATGGATTGTTATGATGGAACAGACGAAAGTATATATATATATATGTCCTATCTGTACGGTAAACGAACATCGGTGTGGTGGCCTTGATCCTAAATGTATACCATCGAATAAGAGATGCGACGGAACGTCAGATTGCGATGACGGATCAGACGAAAGTACAGATTTATGTCCTATCTGTACGGAAAACGAACATCGGTGCAATGGTACTAATCCTAAATGTATACCCGTGCCGAATCTATGTGACAATACGACGGATTATGATGATGGATCAGACGAAAGCGCCAAGTTCTGTCTTAACTGTACGAAGCATCAGCATCGGGGCGGTGGCGATGAACCTAAATGTATAGAATTGACGAAGAGATGCGACAAGGTGAGAGATTGTGATGACGGATCCGACGAAGACGATGCTAACTGTCCAAAAGAATGTACACTGGGCGTTCATCATCAATGCGGTGGCACTGGTCTTAAATGTATAGACGTATCGCTTAGATGTGACACAATACCCGATTGCGATGACCAATCCGACGAAAAATGGTATGGTGCCTGTACGGCGCATTGGTGTTTAGGCCTTAAACGTCAATGTATACCCTTCGCGAAGAGATGAGACGGAAAGAAAGATTGCGATGACGGATCCGACGAAGCTGGAAATCTATGTATTCTTCCTACTTACTGTCCGTGGCCTCAACATCGGTGTGGTGGCCTTAATCCTACCTGTATAAACGCTTCCAGTGTATGTAACAGTCATGTCGATTGTGATGACGGATCGGACGAAAATGCTGAGACATGTCTCATCTGTTCGGAGAATGAACATAAATGTAATGTGGCCCTTTTCCTAACTGTATAGACAAAAAATTGGTATGCGACGGAGTAGAACAGTGCGATGACGGATCGGACGAACCCATGCTCCAATGTTATCCTCCACCTCCTGGACCTCCTCCTGGTCTTCGAGGAGACGATCTGGCAAATGTGGTGAGGAATAGCAGCAGCACTGCAGTGAAAGATTTGGTGAGTGCGATAGAGAAGAAGAGGGAAGAGGAGTTGAGGGAGGACATGTTGATCCTGCTCAATTCCAACGGCAGCAACACATATACTGTAAACCAACTTTTATTCGCGACCACTTTATTTCGCGATTTACCGAGAGTAAACTAGTTCGCGACGACTTATTTTCGCGATCAAGTCTTTTTGGAACTGTTTTAGTAGAAAAAGACACTTTAAAGACGCGTTCGCGGCGAGAAATATTCGCGATGACGAGGCTATCGCGAACATCGCGAAAATTTCTCGCACGCGAATAAAAGTTGGTTTACAGTATTGAAGGTAGTGGTGATGATAGCGTGGAGAGACAGATACGAGAACTCACGACCCAGATAATGCCTCTTGCGTAGTTACAGAGACTTTTATCATCACGAAGCAGATACCTGTTATAATCTACGGAGACGGGAGCAGATGAAGGTGATCACCGATATGGAAGAGGCTTATTACATGAAGATTAAAACTTGCAGGAGACCCCACGTTCATATGGTCGAGAAATGTCCACAAGATCCTCCGTCCTGGTTTCAAGCCGTCCGACGAAGGAAATGCTACGATCTACACTGTACGGGACAGAACGGTCGACCCGTCCTCTTTGAGTATCGCTGCTTGGCCAATACGTACCTGGACAAGTTTTACGAGACGTATGTCGCCATCGACGAATGCATCATGTACGACGATCGTAATCAATCCATCAGCTTTAGGGCCTGCAATAGGAATGGTAATAGTAACGGTCATTTCTTACCTCGCGTCCCTGTACATCAAGCTAGTCTACTGACTAAAACGATGCATGATCAGCATATAAAGAACTATCATCCTGATCATAAGCATGAGATGGGGGAACAGCAGATGAGTCCTACTCCTAAACCTAAGAACATGCACGAAGAACATATCACTCAGTACGTTCTCAGTGCCGTGTCTATAGCCGGTATCCTCATCGTCATCATCACCATCGTCGTGCTCATCAACTGTTTTGGTTACAATTCCTTATGATTCTCGAAGCGGCTCGGTTTGGACAATGGTATAGGAGACGATCCTATTCTCTATCTCATAATAACGACCCTGTTCCTATAGTCAGAAACAACCGACGTTTTGAAAATGGATGCAAGATCGGCATCAGGAGTGACTATGAATTAACCAAGGTTACTTCTGGTGCTGCTGCTCCGCTTAAAGAAAGCCGTACAATTTTATAAAAAGTGTCTCTGTGATATATATATGTGTGCCAATATATGTGTATCTAATCTTGCCATATATAAGAAATCCTAGTCTGTGTGTATGTGCATGTGCCAATGTATATCTTGCCATATAGAATATGAAATCCTAGTCTCAGTGAATATGTATGTGCCATAGAAAAAGAAGAAGAAGATGATGAACAATATATAAAACTTTCTGTGATATAAAAACTGTCTCTCTACAAATTACTTGTCTCTACTTGATTTGTGCACAATATGCACAATATCACAATTTTTATTGTTCGTATTGTTCATATTGTGTTATTGTTCGTATTGTTTGTGATATTGAATGATGATGATTATATATATATAAAATATATGAAAACAAGTCATAGTTCTCTTGTCTTTACTGGTGTGATGATGTGTGTTGGTGATGGTGGTTGGTTTTGGTTTGGGTTTAGATGTATTTGTTACTACACTATACATAAAGGATAGATTATTATGGCTGAAACACAACTACCAGGTGGTGGTCCTTCTACCTAGAAAACACAAACACTTGTTACTGCTGCTGCTATTAGTCAGAAAAAGAACAGCCATGGAAAAGGAGGTGGTTACCCTCTCGAGATTCTGGTCTATCCAATAGACACGTTAACCGATGCAGCAGCAGATGAGTTAAAGGAGAAATACATGTGTCCTCAATGTAATCTCTTGTTACGAAACCCTGTACAAAGAAACTCTTGTGGACACAGGTGTTGTCAAGACTGTTGCGGTATATCTACTATTATGTGTAAAGCTTGTATAGTAGACGAAGAGGGTACTGCTACTACTGATACTACTCAGCAGCAGATACAGCAGATCTTTTATCATCACGATACAGCCATGGGAAAAGAAATGGAAGAGGTGTTTGTTAAAGTCCAATGCGAAAACCATTGCGTTTGGCAAGATCCGCTCAAAGATTACGACAGACACGTCTCTCTAGAATGCGATTATAGAGTCATCGAATGTGAATGTCAAGCTAAAATATGGGCCTGTCGATTAGAGAGTCACTTGGAAGACGAGTGCGATAGGAGACGGGTCTCTTGTCAATATTGTACGGAGGAATCCCCACAGTACTTACTCAGAGACCATACTACTCGTGTCTGCGGTAAATATCCCATCCAATGGGTAGCCTGTCATAAAAAGGTGAGACGAGAAGAGATGTCTCGTCATTTAGAAGAAGGAATAGGTTCGTGTCCTAAAGCGAGAGTCCTCTGTTTTGCCACCGAATGTAACGACGACGGCGGTATACCTAGAGACGTCTTTAGCTCGCACCTAGATAAGAAACCGGGACTTCATCTTACGGCCTTGCATCAGCAACTCAAAAGACAAGAGACGAGGCTAGAACGGATGCACGAAAAGTGCGACGAACTGGATACGAAAACGACTCAATCGGAAGGCATCGCTTCGGCTCTATACGGAGAAGTCGACAGATGCATCACTGGGTTAGACGAGCAGAAGAGACTCTACGCCGAGACCATAGACGGACTACGCCAGACAAATAGGAACCTCACGCACGACGTCCATAGGAACAAAGAGGAATTTGATAGACACACTTTAAGTATCGAGCAGAGAGTCCAGCACCTCGAAGTCTCCAACAGGGAACTCAAACAGAAGATTGCTCGAGACGTCACCCAGATTTAAAAGATGACGACGGAATTGAACCAAAAAAGAAGACGCCATTTCTACTCTGAGACAAAAGATCAACGAGCTGGAAGTTAGACTCGCAAACGAAGAACTCAACTCTCACAACGACGGGAACTTCTTATGGAGAATACCGGATTGGAGTCGGAAGCTTCGAGAGGCTAAGATTGATGATGGTACGTCTTGCTATCACTCGTCTCCCTTCTATACTAGTAAAAATGGTTACAAGATGTGTGCCCGCATCTACCCTAATGGGGTCGGCGAAGAAGAGACGAAAGGCAAACACGTTTCCCTCTTCATCATGCTCATGAAAGGCGAGTACGATTCTCTCTTGACGTGGCCCATGCAAAAAATACGGGTCACCTTCACGCTACTCAAGAATAAGAATAGTTCTAGCAGTGCCAGCAGTACTATCGTCGACAATATAGAGCATAGTTTCAGAGGAGGTAGATCCATTGAAGAATTCTACCAACGACCCGTGGATGCAAGAAACCCAGCTACTGGTATTCCTCAATTTGTGAAGCACGAGGATTTAGAACATTATATCAAAGATTACGATACCATGTTTATCAAAATCAAAGTGAAATGTTTGTAATGTAGTCAATAAAGGTATAAACACAATTTTTATTGTTTTGTGTCATAAACCCTGTCTCTCTGCTATACTGTAGAAGTGGAAAACATTACGGTGTTTTTAATTTCACTATGTTCACGATTTAAGAATTTTCCGCGAACTTTAAACCATCGTGATTATTATTTCACCTCATTTCTACCTATACACAGTCATAGTATTTGAATATTTACAAACCATTCTCCGTGAAATATAAACCACCGTGAAAGGTAACTTTCTAACAAACCGTGAAATTAAAGACGTCTACAGTATATAAAGAAAGAGGCACAAAGATACATTACACACTATACATTACACAGATACAGGAAACAAACCATGTCGTCTAGTAAAGTCGAAATGATTATGGGTGGAGATCTTTTAACCTATAGAGGAGACAATGCTGCTATAGTTCACGTCGTGATTTGCTGTCGTGCTACTGCCCACGGCTTGTCTAAAGGGATTGCAGGGACCTATCCTTGGGCCGACATCTATTCTCTTACACGAGAGAAGACCAAGCATGGTGGATCGTGTGCCACCGTCGGTACGAGAGGTATCCCAGGTACCATCAACGCATGTGAGTTAAGGCTACATATGGAAATTTCTATACAAAATATCTAATTAAATTCCATAATTTCTCTACCTACCGCACAGAAAATACTAAGACTTGTTTTCTAATACATTCTTGGTACCCACGACATGCAATAGCCAGTACACATTATGACGTCATATTATGACGTCATCGACCTGTACTACACAAGTTTATAAGAAACATCAACAAAATCGCTTCGGCGCAAGGGCATACCTTACTTTGTTTTACAGAAACAATGTATCAAAAGACGCAGGATATTCCAAGGATTTAAGATATTGCTGCACAAATGTCGGCAGTGCAATTGGTTACTTACTATTCGTGCAGTTTTAAGTTTTAACAGGGTAAAAATTCACTGTCCAGGGTAAGTTTCCTAAAATTTTTATCAATTGAGAAAGTGCATAGGATTTGTGCAGCAATTTTAATAATTTTAAGAATATTCACCTTAATATTATACATTGTTTATTTTAAATTAGATAGGATAGGCCCTTGCGCCGACGTGATTTTGTTTATATGATTTAATACCTTGAATGGGAGAGAACAATGACGTCATAATATGACGTCATGATGTGCACTTGCATTAATAAACTGTGGGTACTGAGTATGTATCAGAAAATCAATTTGAACCTTATCTGTACATAAAATATACAAATTATGAATTTTCATTAGCTTATTTGCATAAAAATATCCATATTTAGCCTTAACTCACTTGCGAAGATATTTAGACGTAGACCTGATGATGAAGACGATGAGAATGAGCAACCACCACCAGCCGTCGTCTGTCTGTTGGCTCAATGGGACTACGGGAAAGCGAGCGACCTGGATACGAGGCGGAAATGTAAAGGCTACGAGGATACCAAAGAGGAAAGAACCAGGTGGTTCGAACAGTGTCTAGACCAACGGGCTAAAGAAGCAGACGATCTAGAGACCATCGCCTTTCCTTATATGATAGGATGTGGACTAGGCGGTCAAGACTGGGACGTGTACTCTCGGCTCATTGACGAGTTTGCCGAAAAGAGCGGCAAGAAGGTGCTGCTGTTGAATAATGGAGGAAATGTTTCTTATTTTTGATGATGGAACAATATAAACAATAACACAATATAAACAATATGAACAATAAAACAATAAATCTATTTATAAAACATATCATTTTATATTATATTATGCATATTCCATAATCCCCCATATTGCATCATAGCATCATGGACGTAATACCACAATCCCCGTATGAACGCATGAAACCTCTTAGAGACAGCTTTGAGAAAAGATTATGTACATTCAACCATCCGTGTTGGTATGCATCGGAGGCATCTCGATTCATTTCGGTTAAGAATCTAGCCGATGATGGGTTTTACTATACGGGTCATCAGGATAAGGTACAATGTACACACTGTGGAGGTTTACTGAGGAACTTAATGATATTGTATCGGTACAACATGCTCGTCATTTTCCAAACTGTCCTAGGGTTCGTCTCCGTAAACATCAACCTACTACTACATCATTAGAAGAGGCAGCAGCTAATGCATCTGTAGGAAGAGGAGGTTTTGATTATGTACTTAAAACAGGAGACACTGATACTATGGTGAGATATGTCTCTTAGCCCTTGGGACGAACCCGGAGTGACTAGACCTAAATTCCATTCGTTTTCCATAGAAAAGGACAGACTGCATTCGTTAACTAGATCGAACTGGCCTAAGCAAATGAAACAGAGACCGGAACAACTCGCTAAAGCAGGATTTTTTTATCTAGGGGAAGGAGACAAAGTCAAATGTTTCTACTGCGGTGATATTCTACACGATTGGGACGAACAAGACGAGGATTGCTGGGCAGAACATGCCGCATGGTTTCCAGACTGTCCTTGGGTCACACTGTCTAAAGGAAGTGACTATGCAGAGAATGTACGACGACAACGACCAGATGATCAGAAAAGTTAAAATATAATAAATGTAGTACTGTAAAATCACATATTTTCGTGGGGTAAAATTTTCGTGGTTTGAGGAAAAAATGTTGGTTCGTGGGCATTTGATTTCGTGGATGAAAAACTTTTGAGTAGTTGTGCATATCAAAATTTACATTTCGTGGTGGACATAAATTCGTGGGTCTCTTTATACCACGAAAACAACGAAAATTAAACCCCATGAAAATAAGTGATTTCACAGTATATAAACAAACCAAAAAACCATGATCATCTCCTACGCTACTACGACGGTCTTGATACTGATGTTGTTGAGGTTGTTGCTGATATTGCTCTTGCTCTACTACTAGACGACAACGAGGTCTCTTCTTGTTCCTAGCAGTAGATGTAGTAGTAGCATCTCCTTCCTCCTCCGATGTTGTATCCTCGTATTCTATAGGACGTTTACGAGGTCTACTGCTGGCTTTTCTTCTACTACTTGTGGTGGTGCTACTGGTGCTGCTGCCGTTGGTGCTAGTTCGACGGCGGGTACTACGAATCTGCACTTGTTGCTTGTTCCTATTGCTGCTACCTTCTGCTATAGTAGATGTAGATGCAGTTGCAGTAGCAGAAGAAGGTCGGGTTTCGAGGATGGAAGCTATCTTGATCTGACGGATCCATTCGGGAGTATAGCTACTACTATAGCAAAGACGATTACCATCCCCAATGTTTAATTGATCGGCCCACCAGGTCTGAAGAGTATCCACGAGAGAAGTGAGAAGGCTTTCATCGTAGTCGTGAGTATGATCGGTGCATTTACTGAAACTGGTAGGTAGACTGACGTAACTGTCGTGCTGGAAGGTAATGTCTGTTATCATAGGAGGTTCTGCACCACCTTCTGCACTACCTGATCCACCAAATTCACTAGCTATTCGTTCTTGGATCTGTTTCTTCAAGGTCTCGGCGTATTCTCCGGCATCACCGGTACTCTGTTCCAGTAAATGTAACCAGGATCTAGCTCGGCCTATAAAGATCCCGCGGATCACTCGTCTCATCTGGTTACTCGAGGTCGCCGCAAAGCAGCTACCCAGCAGGAACGCACGTATCTGCAACACGCAAGTCACCACCAATTGACCTAGAGTGATCAGAGACAGAGGCTGATCCTTCCTCGTCACTTCGACTCGCACCGTCTCCGAAAACTTGTGCATCATGTCGCATTCGCTAAAGTCGATGGCCAAAAAGTCCAACAGAAACTGTCGCAGCTTACGAAAACGCACCATGAACTTGTCCACCGTACCCAAACAGTCCGACACCACCGATAAGTCGCTCGAGTCTTTCACCGTAAACACCAGGTAGTGAAACGGGTTGGCCGTCTCACGCATCTCTCTCTTCACCACCTTCTGAGGGTTGTAGATGCTCCGCCAGTTCGTCTTGTTGGCCAGCGTCTTGAACACCTTCACCTTCTTCTTATTCTTCTGCTCCGGATCAGTAGCAGTAGCAGAAGCAGACATAGCAGACAGGTGGGATGTAATGATGTCACCTATATCTTCTTGCTTTGGTTTTACTGCTTGTTCTTCATCTTGTTCAGTAGCATCGTCATTGTCATTGTCATTTGTATCTGCTTCTGTTTTTGCTCTTGTTGCTGCTCTTGCTGCTGCTGATGTTTTCTTCCTAACATCAGCCAAGATCTTGTCCACCTCTTGAACCGTACAATGACACCCATGACGTAACAAGACGGTGCCAATCTCTTCGTCCAAGTCCATGTTCTCCAGGGCCTTTCGCTTCTTGGGATGATATTTGAACCACATGATGTTTGTTGATAATTAAAAGTTCCTCGTTATAATCAATTAAAGTCACTTCCACTATATATGCAAATTCACTTCACTATATATAGCATAAATCACTTATACTATATGCAAATCACTTCACTATATGCAAATGAGCAGATCAGATGATATGCAAATCGCGCAAGTCTCTTCTATTTCACTGAACAAACTGAACGTAGGTCTGCTCTGGTCGAGATCCAAACGTGAAAAGAGAAAGAATGGACGTGTCGCACTGGTATATATACTCTTATCTCTCTTCCTGAATGCGCGCGCACATTACAACCCACACAGTTCCGCCGTGCTGATCTGTCCTGTTCTGATTGGTTCTCTTTATATATATAACTATAGTGTCATATACTATTTATAAAGATGAGCGAATGGAAAGTTTTCATCTACATATATACTATCCTATTACTATAGTAGTGGTCTATATGATGAGGATGAGCTGCTGACGCCTCGAATGATGGAATTGGCCGGAAGATGATGCAACACAGGTGGAAGCTTACTCTTTACATAGATATACACCATCCCACAGACACCTCCTATTCTGCTTCTCGCTTGTTTCACTTTCTCTTTCACCGTCTGTTTCACTTTCTGTTTCATCTCTTTCAATTCTTCTCTCTTGCGGTTTCTAAAAAATCTATTACTGCTTCTTCTATTGCTTCTTCTACTGCTCTTTCTA